AAAAAACTGTACTTGATCAGATGGCGCGTGCGGCACAACATCAGGCTGATTTACCAAATCCACTTCGGCTTTTATAAAGGTCCCATTCTCCCAAGTCCGTCTCTGAGGACGCGACATATGACCCGCTTTGTAAGTAAGGCCCCAATTTGTAAGCGTATTTTTCAACTCTAAAGGAGGATCTAACCTGCTTGAGGAAGCCTAAAATTTATTTCATTTAACATGCTTTTTTTACATTAGATGAGGCTTCCTCGTGCATCATACTTTCCTGCTTTGAACAAAAATAGTAACTTTTATTACTAAACCAACAATCTTCCCTAGAAATAATTTTTTTCAGCTCTAATCAAAACAGCTCATCTGGTGGTCACTCCATTGAAGAAAAAAAAAAAAGGAAGTTTGAAAGTCACATTGTTCTGGTGCAGACGGAACGAGTTAGTATTGCCATTTCCAGAAGGACCAACAGCGCTAACATCATTCTGTACATACTGCCCCTGGGTAGGAGCAATTACAGCCGAGACTGGTGAGGATGCAAGAACCGGCCGAGGGAAAGAAACACCTTGGTGTTGCCTCAGCACGTACGGCGACACACAAGGGGAAGGCGCCATAGTCATTGTACTAGCTACAGATGGAGCCAGTCCTGCACCCATTGTGCTGTTCAGCATAGGAGCCATGCCACAACCGTCTATAAAAACCTGAAATAAAGTTCTTTTAATCTAAAAACTCAAGGGAAACCTTCTGAATTAAACGAATGGGAACATAAAGACGCGAGTGAAACTTCGCAAAGGACAAAGAAACTTTTAAATACATAAAGAGGACAGACAACCTGTTGCTGAAGATCATAAGGCTGAGGAATAACAGGCTGAAAAACTGATTCACCAGTATAAGGTACTGCGTAATTTTGAGTTCGAGCTGATTGTACACATGAGTTAACCATACACTGAGAAGGTGCACAATAAGAATCAACCATCATTTGTTGTTCTTGCATGCACGGCAATTCTGAAGTCGCATATCGAAGCAGTCAAAACTATATTGAACTCACAGTGAATGGTGAGTGCAGTCGTTACCTGAGTGAATAGCAGGCTGAGAAATAGCATGAGACATGCGTCTATCTCCATGAACTTGTCTTGATAGTTCTTCGTGCTGTACAGTGAGCTTCTCCACTTGCTTCTGTAATAGCATAAATTTCTATAAAATGAAATGACATATGAGCATTTTTACACCAAGTCAATTATTCCTTTTTTATATCTTACGCTTTTTTAGAATTATTAAATACTGACGCCCAACTGAAAACTTGAAAACCGACTTTAAAATGACAAAAAACAAGTTTTTCACCAAATCACACCCCTTTGAAGTGCAAAAATACTGTTGACTTAAATTAAAAATTCTTGTGCCTCTATACAGAAGAAAACAAATTTTGAAAAGTTCTTCACTCCTCTTCCCAATTACATAGGATTTTCTGCCCTAAATCATAAAGTTCTGAGAAAGATGAAGCTTAGACTTAGCGAGAGGACGTCCGGCAGCAGCATATTTTAGTGAAAGACATTAAAAAAGCCAATTTTCCCAAACAAAGGGCACATTGCACCTGTATACAGCACTGGAAAATCGACGTCATCACCAAATTTCACTGAAATAGACAGCCACCGTGCCTATTTCGGCCATCATTTCTCACTCTAAGAAATGCGATTTTCGTTCTCAAGATTTGACTACTTTGGAAACGTTCTCATCTTCTCTGAATAATATTACACAAAAAAGGACTAACAACTCGCAGGTCCAAAAAATTTAAAGACACTAAGAAAAAACCGCCCAATTTAACGTGAAGATTTACAAGTAAAATAACAAAAATTAAAGCTGGAAAAATATTAAGAAATACGACTCAGGACAATTAATATTTCTAACTTAATTCATGCCGATAAATCTGATTACAAGTTCCCTACCTAAAAAATGTATCGAATGTTAGAAAGAATAAGGGATTTGTTCCATAAAGACCAACCCTTAAATTATCGACAGTTTCTTGCACTGAATTAAAATGTTTTCCAGTATTTGACGGACCTGCAGGTGAAAGTGATCCAAGCTCACTGTGAGTTCTTGATCGAGGATCATTGCCCTAAAAAAATGAAACCTCAGCAATAAACGCAAAATACTCGTTTAAGCTTGTAATATGCGTTTATGTAGCAAACAGTTACCAAGTCCTTGAAAAAATATGTCAGTGGCAAAGAAGAATGAAGTACTTACTACCTTTTCAATACGCTGCATAAGCGCAAAAAATGCGTCCTTTTGCTTTTGTACCCTTTCGGCCTCGTTTTGATTACTAAAAAAAAACTGAACAGATAAAATAAAACCAATAAATGAAGAATACAGAAAATAGACTCATCTTCAGCAATAAAGTAATTAATAAACAAAAATGACTACCTCTTAAAGCAAAAATACAATAACTGTGAGACTGAATTTAAGATTTTAAATTCTTCCCGTCACAAAGCCTTTGTGTTAACGAACACCGCATAAAGCGGATTAAATCAGCGCTTTGTTCCCCGTTAATGTACAAACAAGAAAGTGACGGCCCACCTTTCAAAAAGCCGTTTCTTCTCAAGATCGCGCCTTTTTTCTTCGAGTGCCAAACGTACACTAGCAGCAGGCATTGAATCACTTCTTTCGTATCCACTATTAGGTAATGTTGTAGACAAATACCTACCATTTTCATCTGTTGGAACCTGAACAAATCTTAGCACTTTCATCATGTTACGAAGTGTAACTAAGAAACTCAAAAGAAATGCTTCCAAAATTCCCCTTCTCTATTTGAAACCCCTGATAAATAGAATAAAACCGAATGAAAAAGGTACGAAATGCAACATGAACTTCCATTGTTCTCCATTTAGAAAAGTGGTATTCAGTGCACCATCTAAATTAAGGTAAAAACGTGACTTCGAAGTCTAAACACTTATAAGTTATCCATAAAAACTACAATAAATACCTGAAGTATTTGTCTGAAGTTTGTCGTATTTGGGCTACCTATCTGTCCTCGTACTCCTACATCGCTTCCTCTCGCTGTCATTCCACTAGAAGAGTTTCAAACACGTTTTAAAAACAACATTACAAAACAAGACTTTTCATTACAAAATTTAAAGTTTTCGGCTGGAAACACTCCATAATAAATGAAAACGAAGGAAAATACAAATTCTGCCAATAAAAACTTCAGGCTAGTAATTCCTGTTGCTGTGTTTCTTTCCTAAATCTCATCTACGCTTCATTGTAGTAATCTATTTGAAGTAACAGCAATAAAACCTATTTGAAAAAGCAGCAGTCTGACTTACCGGCCAGAAATAAGGGAATCGGTAGACATCAACGACATAGCTGAAATAAATTGGTAAAGAAAATAAGAAGTCAAGTATGTCCTATAACTCCATAAACCAGTTCTTTTACAGAATGTAAAAAATTGATAATGTAATATACATAGCTAGTTAAGTGGTAGAACCAAATGTATGCCCGCAAAAATACAAAGCAAAGCAAATTTCGATCTGTCACTTTAATAAACCGCCGTAACTCTTAGTCTCAGTTTTAACTTATTACACTCAACGCTTAAGGAAAGGAAAGAAAGAAAAGAAGTGGTAAATTCCAGAAGAATGAACAATATAAGACATAACTTTGCTATTTACTAACAATAGTACTTGACAAAGAAAAAAATTTTTTTATAAAACTTCCAGTATTGACGTTTTAACAGCGCGAATAAACTAAACATGAAAAAATTCTATGTCACATCAAGGCCTAATAAGATACGGTATCTGAACCTGGGCTAAAAGCATTAACTGTCCAACAAAGCAATGAAGAAAAACATGGAGAGAGCTTCCTCAAAACAGCATCAAAGTACTCAGAGGCGTTGTGAGGTTCATTAAACCCAAAATCCTGCATGAAAATAAGGCATATAATGCAAAGTGACTTTACCTCTAGTCATTGATGGCTGTTGTTTGCCCCTCGGAAGTGCAGCCGGTTTGGAAGAACAATTTTTACGCAAATCAGGAATTCCAGCTATAGGAACAAAATGACGATATGTATTAACTTCTGCTGATTTGACAGCTAAAGTATTTCAGAATGTTAATGCAACCAAGCGTATTTCCATGAATAACATCTGAAACCTTTAAAAAAAAGAGCAGAACGGACCGCATTGTTGATCACTTCCTTCAAAATAATTAAAAAGATCGGCCAAGAAAGCATTGACATTCGGTTGCAGGCATTCGTGTAAGTACAGTACATCCTCAATTTCGAAATAAAAGAAGTTAAATGGTAGCCGTTCGCAAAAGGACCTGAAAACAATAAATTTTTGAAACTAATCAACCTTAGTAAAAATGAATGGCCCGAGCCAGGCAAGTCCAAAACGTCACTACCTTACAACTTTAGTAGCGATATTGCTAATAATATCATTAAACGAAAAACAGTAGTAAAACAATAAGAAAACTTACTTCAACAAAACCAAATTATACTGACAATCCGGTATGCTCATTGGATCGTTAAAACATATTCCTACAAATTAAAGAAAACTAAAGATTTGAGAGCAAAAAATTTATAGTCATCAAAACCACCATTTAAAATAGAACAAAAATGACGACAAAAATTGTTCGTTTTCCAAATAGCAGACTATTCATACTTTGCATGTTCATCTGATCACTGTAAAAAGCAACCAGAGCACACAAACAAGCGCCATCGCACATATCCTCATAGAGATCTTCCATTTCCGGAACAACCACTGGACCAACTACAAATTAATAAGATACAACAAAATGTAGAAATTTTTGAGAATAAATAAATTTTTTCCTCAATGTTCGTAAATTTCTAATGTACAAAGCAATAAAAAGCGATTTTCCACTCCTTATCCACTCAAGGAAGATGCTGCAGCAAATCTACAAGAAAAATAAATTTTACCAAAATATCAAAAAATCCTACATAAAAAGCGTAAAAAACAGTGAGCTGCACATGTGAAAGACAACTGATAAATCGCTTTGATGTTTGGTGCTGTTGATAGAATATATAACATATTATGATAAAATTTGAATGAAAATTACATTGGTTTTCCTCTCTCTTCGTCGTCAACTGCGATTTTTCAATATCGTCCCTGACAAGCAGACAGATCTTGTTAATCCAAAAAAGTAAGGCATCAACACTGTCCATTGGTTCTTCTCTCGGATCAACAGTTGTGTACTTTCTAAACAGACGACATACTCATACTATTCACAACACTGTTAACATAGTATGGGTAAAACAGCCAAGAAAGAAGACACTGGGTGCAACCTATACGCTAAAAAGCAAGAAAACCACAAAGAACCAAAATATATATAAAATACTTACTGCACGGCGGTCACAATCCTTTCAATAGTTATTATAGACCGCATATGTGCCGTCATCAACGCGTCCATAACCGCCAAATGAGCAGCCTGAATAACAATTTATTTTAAAGATCATTTTAAAAACAGTAAAAAAAAAAGCTTTGAAACAAGCGAGACTTTGTAGTAAAAATCTTCTGTGTTCGGAAATACGTACATTTCCAGACAAACCATTACATTAATTACTATTTAACGTCAAAGACAAACGTTCTCATAAAACTACCTGATGAAAAGGCTGTACAGAAGATAGCACGCCTTCGTCAAGGTCGGCTTCCTCACCTGAGATCAGGATAGGTATGGAGTGGTTGGACAGCGCCCATAAAACAACACTGTGGGGTTGCTAAAAAACTGATCCAATTAAAATATTCAAAATCACAAGATTCTCCTGAATCAAAAACACACGAAGCTTGAAGAGCAGTTAAAAAATAAAAAAAAACTCAAAAATTTAAGATTGACTTCATATCACGTAAAATATTTAATCAAAACTTAAAATTGTAGAAGGTGATTGCACTAAAAAGTAAAAATTTGAAACAAATCTTTACGTTAATAAGGCTTTGATCTTTGAATATCTTTGCAGCGGCATTACTGTATAACGATGCATTAGTTAAAGCGGTTATCACAGCAGACTCCAAATGAAAAGTGTTCTGAAATTCTTTTTTAAGCAACTCAGAATATATTTTAAAAAAATTATTAGAAGAACTACTACTGAAATTTAACAATCTCAACTAAAATAAATGAAGAGAAAAAACAATGTAGAGTGGACTTACATTATCATTATAACGTATTGGAGAAGCGAGCAAATCAGGTACTAATCCTCCATAAACATGGCCTATAAGCCACTTCACAGAAGCAGCTAGTTTACCCTATAAAAAAAATTGTTTTTATTCCTCAACTCTGAAATGAAAACCAAATTGCTAGCTAGATCCTATAAGTTAAAAAACCCTTCATCGTCATCTGGCTCTTAATTCTCGTTTAAAAATAAAATTCTCGTAAGATTAAACAGTACTAGACAAGAAAATGAATTCATCAAACAGAACCTCACCAAAAAACGCAAAAATATAAGCCAAAAAAAATTTTTGTGAACAGCCTTTCTTCAACTGGCCACAAATTAAAGAGACTAACCAGCTTAATTTCATCCCACTCATTTTTTACCAGCAGTGAGTTGGAAAATAACAGATCCATGTGAAAAACTGCCAGGGAAATTTCAGTTAAAAACTACCCCTTAGCCGATATTCAACAATATAAGAAACTGTGGTATTTATCACACTCTAAATTCCAAAAACGATATTTCGCAATCAACAAAACTGACATTACGTCGAATGAGTAGACAATCTCATATACAGTTTATCTACAATATTTTCCAATAAACGCCGTCTTAGAACTGAAATAATCATAAAACTACGGATTTACGAAAAGGACTCAAACAAACTTGGAACATCAATAAAATTGAATGAAACCAGCAAAACGAAAAAAAGTAAATGCGCAAAAAAAGTATCCTAATTTCCAAGATTGTTTATACATCTTTCAGTAAGAAAAGCAAAAAACAAAATATCAAACCATCTTTTTTTCGGACTCTTTGAAAAAATTAATGCGACTCAACATCAAAATAATAATTCTGTCACTGCTAATCTCGTGATCCAAAATTAAAAACGTACAACCTCAAAAATACCAGTTAATTTTGGAAAAAAAATATATTCTTAGACGTCTAAGATTATACTGTCCAATAAGGAAATTGAAACACGTTCTAGGAAAAGTGTGAATTAATGCAAGAAAAGAATAGTCTCCTACATGCAGCTGAAGAATGTGTGCTGAAAACGACACATCGAAAAAGTCCTAAACTGAATTTGCCACTAATAAAAATTGCAAAGGCCCTTCCAACTAACCTCGACAGTGATCCCGTATATAGTGCTCATAAATAACTGTGTAGAGAACTAAGAAAACTCCTTCGCAGTGTAAAACAAAAAAAAAAAGAAAAAATTCAAATTTGGGCATCGGAAAAAAAAACCATAAGCTAAGAGAAAACAACCTGTCAAAGAGTGTGGTTTTAAGCATTAAAGTGAAATAACTGTTTATGCTCAGAACTATGTACATCAAAAACCTTCTTGGCTAAAAAAAATTTCCATTTGTTAGGAAAAGGCACAAATTATAAATGTCTGGTTAAATTTTATCA